CCCCCAAAAAAGAGAAAATGCTCTTGCATAACTGAGAAAAATTATCATCATCACACATACAAACCCTCATGCACTACCTCAATACACACAGAAATTCCCATGGTGAAGGCTGTTGTTATATGCCTTTGAAGTGTTATATGGCTATAACTTTTCATTTGGTAGGTAACTGGCTGGCAGGGTGGGAATTTCCCTCTTCAAATTCACGTGCTAAATCATATACTTAGCCCTGTAGCTCCCAAAAGGGAATTTTCACAATAGGATGTGTAATTGAATTTTTTTTCTGGTGGACTGAATTCATTCTTATCAATGTAACAGATATTTACATAAAGACAACTAAATCTCAAGCACCATGTTGGGTCCTTACAATTGCTATGAAACTCCTGTTACACTATTTTAAAACTATGTCATTAAGAGCTTTTAGCCATTTCAAAGCCTGCTAGTTCTATGGGAGAATCTGGAAAAGATAAATTTGTTCACCCAAAGAGATGAGGGTTGGTGTTATATTTGGGACTTCCCAAGCTGTAGGAGAAATAAGTACTGAATGGGTGGTGTAAGATCTTGGTATGGGTATTATACAGAACCTGGATCTTCCAGAATTTTTCCTCTCTTACATCTCTGTGAACTATAAGCTTAATTTGTAGCCATTTTAAGCCATACAAGTTTAGCTTGGCTGCTATTGTTGGAATGACTCCCTGAAAAAATTGAATTAGTAATTTGAATGAATTTGGCTCTCAAATCACTCTATTTAAATTATAATGATTCTTTAGTATTAGATGTCTTCCAATCTGATACTAATTAATAAAAATTCAGCTAAGACACAGCAAAGAGGAAAAATGGAAATCTCAAAAAATTATATATGTGTATATATATATGTATATCATCTGACTGATAAAAAGAAATTTACTGATATAGGAATTACGAAGGAGGAAAATTCTAAGACTAATAACATGGAAATCTTATAGATGTATATATTTAAGATGTATCAAGGTGCGTCGATGAAGAAAGTGAGATGTGGAAGGTGAGAGATCCAGGACAGAAATGATACTACAAAGGAGGCTATTTATGACTTTTGGTGTCAAAGCAGAGGCATATTTACCTTCCTCTAAAAGAAAAGTCCTTGGCAAATACAAGGTCTTTTAAATGGTTCTCAAACCCCACCTAGATGTGCAAGAGACAGGTTAAGATGTCCACTCTCCTTATCCAGAGTGGCAGCACAGATGGACCTTTCACTCTCCCTTCACGGGCTAAGTGGACTCTAACAGGAAAATGATATTTAATTGATCTTCACTTTTTCTAGCACTTTACAAGTTTGAGGTTTTCTACTAGAATGATTTAATATAGTTCTAAAATAGCCTCCAGCTAGCTATTTATGTCCTTTTCGGAGGTGTTAAATGCGGAAGCAATTATCCTCTTCATGACAAGATTTTTTTTTCTTAGCTCAGTAGAGCTTTGTGCCTTGTGACACCTGATGCGTAGGTAAGGCGTTGAGCTGATTTTCTATTAATTCCCAGTGAGTTTCTTTCACTTCGAGAGCTAAAGGGTAGGATGTATGCTTCTCTGAGAGATAAACCACAATCTGTTAAGTGTGTAGGAGGACACTAAAAGCTAGAAAAGATTATGTAAATGCAAAGTGAGATGTAAAAAACTTGCTTTTTGCATTACTCCATAACCAAGGCAGAGAAGGGGGAAAAAGCTGATTAAGTGGTTTGATGGGAAGTAACCTAGAAAAGGACAATCTTTTTGGTTGACTAGCTTCTTGTTAGTCTAAATTGGAATCTTTTTTTAGAGTATGCAAGGCATTATATTTTTAGTTGATGGATGGGTTCATGGATTTGAAAGGCTCAGGTTCTTGCCAGTGTTGAGGAAGTTGGGATATTGCCAACAGGGTTGATAAAATAAGCTCTTTGATTTCATCCAGAGTGTTTAATGTGTGCCAAGAAAAATTTTTTTTTCATATTCAAAGGGAATAGTTTTCTATTGTTGTTCAGAGAATGATGAGCTCACCAGAGAGGATAGTTTGCAAGCTGCCGAAATGGTGGCAATAGTTAATTGTCTTTGGGAAAATGAGACATTTCATTTTGTGTAAAACTGGGGATAAAGCATGTTAGAAAAAATGCATCTGTTTTTTTCATTTTCAGATTCAAGCAAGAAAGCAGCCATCGTTTCAAAGTTGCCCAGCCAGACTGACACTCCCCTAAGATCAATAAATCTCATCCCAGGACTAGTGGGGGATAGAAATGGCACATCAGAGCAAGTTTTCAGAACTCACTATGTTTCACTTTGTGAAACGTAGTGAATATTTACAGGTGGTTGAAGTTGATAAGAAAACATCAACTAAGGCCAAACCATCATAATAGTTTGTATGCAGCATTTCTTATGCAACAGCTATTGCATAAGATACTTATTCTAAGACATCTGTTGACTCTAGGAAATAGGTATTATTTCTGTCTCCATTTGAAATATGAGAAAATCAAGGTAGAGAGAAGTTAAGCAATTTTCTAGGGGTGGGGTATGAGTTCTCATAATCAGGAGGACAATGGGGAGAGCACTGATATTTGAATTCAGAATATCTGAGTCCAAGATGCAAAGACTCTGTAGGTCTGTGTCCAGAAATTCTTGGACAGAGACAGGAGGAGCCAGAGTGTGATCAGCTAAAATAGATGCTGGTCCACCAGGCCAGCTGTAGCAAATAAATATGGAAGAGGGGAAAATTGCCTTTGTTTCTCCTTTACTTCTTTATGCCCCTTCAAGGTCAGCCATGTTGGCTGCATGCAAGGCAAATGCCCTACCACTGTGCTATCACTTGCACAGCAGCAGGGCGTTTGCCTTGCACGCAGCCAACATGGCCGGCCCAAGTTCAACTCCTCCGCCCCTCTCAGAGAGCCGGGCAAGCTACCGAGAGTATCTCGCCCCCACGGCAGAGCCTGCCAAGCTACCCGGGACGTACTCGATATGCCAAACACAGTAACAACAAGTCTCATGATGGAGACGTTACTGGGCCCGCTCAAGCAAATCGATGAACAACGGGAGGGCCGTGCTCCTTCAAGAATTTCACTACTTGTTCCCATTCCTGATGATCAACCCATGATTCATTTCTTGGAATTCTTTATCCCCAGTCCCCAGAGGGTCTTACAACTGGAAGTAGGTTATATTTGTGTATGAAAATTTAAGGGATCACTCCTTTAAGGGGTCTTTGAAATTTCATTAGGAAAATAATTAAGAATTGAAAATTTTCAAGTTACTTTTGGGCAATTTCTAAAATGGACACTTTCAGTTTTCCTTCCAGAGCAATGGCTATGGTATTTTTTTAGGCCAGGGGCTATTTGAGACCCTTGAAACATGTGGTGGAATAGGAGGTGGAAACTTCTTTGTTTCCTAGGAAGGTCTTGTATTGCAAAGAAATGGGAGCATAAAGGAAGGAGAAAGCATTGCATGGAATCTCATAACCAGTGCATTCAGACTCCCCCCTCTCTCACATTGTCGTCATGTGAGTATGGGCAAGTGATTAATAGTCACCTGGATGAAAACATTTCATAAATACAACTGTGAGGACGAAGCTCCCATAAAGTCTAAAATAATGAGCAACAAAACATGAACCAACAGTCAAGACTTCTTAGCTAATATAAGTTCCTGTTCCCTTTCCTCTTCTCACACTGTGAATATTGAGCTAACGTAGTTGGGTGACCAGGAAGGGGAAATAGTAAAGAAGGGTGAAGAACAACCAGGTGGAAGAAAATGAGACTATGTGAGATACTTAATCCGTGATGTGAGTCAATCTTATACTCACTCATTCTTTCATTTGACAGAAACATACTGATTACTTCGCAGTTTTCTCAGACTTGAGACAGACTCACTTGCACCAGCTCTGCGCTGCATTTACAAAGGCGGATGTTGCCAAACTGAGTATAAACACATAGAATTTGATAAACCTGGTCAGTGGAAGGCATTCAGGCATGCTGTTATCTTTCTCTTGATCCTTCTTCAGATATGGCTTCCATGAGAATTTGATAATGTGAAACAAATGATAATTTTCTTTTTTATCATATTATCCCAGAAACTTATGGTAAGAAAACCCTGTTTAATCTGCATATATTTAATCAGCAGCTTTATCACAGACTATGGCCATTTCTCTATCTCTCTCTTTCTCTCTCTCTGTCTTGTCTGTCTGTCCTCTCTCTTTCTCTCTCTCTTTCCTTCTCTCCTTCCCCCTCTCTAGTAGGTACACACAAATGGCTGAGAAAACAACAAACTGTAGTTCTTATTTACCTATTTCTGAAGCTCCAGCTTCTGCTTTACCCATAGTAACTAAAATCACTTAAGTGCCATAAGCCACTGGATTATTAAATACAGGGTTGGAATTTAATTAGGGATTGTGAGTTACAGTCTCATTCTTCAGCAAGGCCATATACAACATAGGCCTGACATAAGGCCTGACACCTCCAACCCTTGACTTAAGACTAGTTTTGCTGAGCTCACAACCACCAGGGAACCGAGATCCCATCAGGGTCTGGCAGTGATTGGATTCATTGCTAGTGTAAACAATCAGCGCGAGGGCTAGTTCCCAGCCCACTCCCCTCTCCCCCATAAAGAGAGTGACAGTATCAGAGAAACTGCTCTTAACGTGCTTATCAATTAATATCAGCATGATTAGCTGCCAAATCATGTGGAGCTCAAAATGTAGGAGGGAATTTGTCCTAGAATACCCCTTCATGTAATTTCATGAGAATATGTTTATTTCTGTGGCTTCAACACACCACAGAGGTTTATTCTCTGATCTTCGTTGTCTGAAGACTGTGAGCCAGGCAATCAGGACAGAGGAAATACACATTATCTTCCTCACTTGCCTGCAGTGGAGAAAGGATGGCAGAAAACCTGGAAGTAACCTAGTTCATATGCAAACATACCATGTTGTGAGGGCCTGGATCCTCAGGGTGAGGCATCAGTGAGAAAGCATTCTTTTGTTTCTGACTTTCTACATTTTTTTTCTCCCCTTAAAACAGGCTCTCCAGTCATTCATTCTGGAATTAAAGACCTCAAGGTCTTGAAAACAACCCAGTCTGGATTTGAAGGATTTATTAAGGACCAGTTCACCACCCTCCCTGAGGTGAAGGATCGGTGTTTTGCCACCCAGGTGTACTGCAAATGGCGTTACAGGAACAAAGACGTGGACTTTGAGACCGCCTGGTACGCTTGTGTGCTAGGGCCTGTGCTGACCAGGAGTGGGGCAGTGCCTGCCCTTTTCCCTGTGGGCAGTTCATGAAGCCTTAGATCTAAAAGGGAAACCTAGAGGCTATTCAATTCAGCTCCTTCCTGCTGGAGGAGAGACACTGATCTTACTTTGAGTTAAGAAACTGGCACATGATTCTTTGATGCTATTGGATAACGTAACTGGAATGGACCATTTAATTTCTTGATCCTCTGCTCTTTAACTGATATTTGTGTGAACATTATTATATGTCAGAATCATCTGGAGGACTTGTTAACATGCAAATTACTAGGCCCCTTGTCAGAGATTCTGATTCTACAGATGTGGGGCCTAAACAAAATTTACATTTTTCATCAAAATGCTCAGTTGATACTGATTTTGCTGTAGCAGAGGCCATTCTTCAAAAAACACTGTATCAGGGGCTGGAGCGATAGCACAGCGAGTAGGGTGTTTGCCTTGCACACAGTCAACCCAGGTTCAGTTCCCAGCATCCCATATGGTCCCCTGAGCATGGCCAGGAGTAATTCCTGAGTGCAGAGCCAGGAGTAACCCTGTACATCGCTGGGTGTGACAACCCCCCCCCCAAAAAAAAAAGGGAAAAAACATATCAGGTGAGGATGATCTTTAGTACTTCTGCCTCGTAGGAGAGGCAGAGAGATCTAAATGAAGGTTACCAAGTAGTCTCAGTTTGCTAAGGATTTTCAAACACTGAAAGCTCCATATCTCAGGAAATCTCTTGATCCCAGGAAAACTGGGATAATTGGTCACTGTAGGACAATGATATGACACCCAGAACTTCTTTGTAAATGAAAAATGTGAAAGTAGGGTTATGATTTGTAGAATCTTTCATAAATTGTAATTAGGTCTCTGAATTTTTTTCAATCAAACATTTTTGTTCATATCTTTGCTGAAGTTTTAATTGTTAGAAGCGTTTATAATGTGATGCTCTGGAATTTGTTTTTTTCCTCCCCCACCCCTAGGGGGATACCCCAGCATCTCTCCAGCTTCCTCCCACCAGCATGGGTTTGTTCTACTCCTTTTACTATGTGATAGGTTCTAAAAACGCTGAAAAAGAACCTCATCTTGATGGGGTTTTTTTCTTTTTAATTTCAAGTGTTTCACATGGGTTCTGTCTGGTGTACTTATATTACAAAGAGCAAGAATTTGGGGATGCCAAACTCAGGGTACTAGTTAGACCTCCCTCTATAGAGAGGTTCTTAGAATGATCATTTCACATTTAAGCTCAGATTTCTCATCTATCTGTGTAGAAATTGTGGGTAAGTACAGAACTTCCTGCAGGTATTTTGGCAAAAACCAATGAAGTACTCTGATAAAAATACTTTACGCAGGGTCCAGGATGATAATACAACAGGCACAGCATTAGTTTGCCTTGCATGTGGCCAATCTCGCTTCTATCTCTCACAGCCTATGGTCTACCTAGCTGGCCAGGAGTGACCGCTGAGAGCAGAGCCAGAAGTAAGCCCTGAGCACAGCCAGTTGTGGCCTCAAAACAAAACCAAACAAACAAGCAAAATATTCAACACAGGGCCTGTGACGGAGCCCCCCTCACACACACATACACCCTGCCCCTGGCCCCAACAGGCAAACACACACACACCACCATCGCCATGTAGTAATTCAAGGAACAAGTCAAACTGAGAAGGATGGTTAGAAATTTGGGGAATTCTCTGTAGATTCTTCAAACATAGAAGTTTTGTTGAACCCTCAGACTGTGTTACAAAGATTGCTTAGTGATGTGTGTTGTGTGTGTGTGTATGTGTGTGTGTGTGTGTGTAAGAGAATGAAGATCATAAATTGATCATAAATTATTTTTATTTTATTTTGTACAAGACACTGATCTCTTTTAAAATAAGCAATAAAATTGTCTTCTGGAAACTATGAAAGTCACAGTGACTTAGCTTTATAATGCATTCCTGAAAGCCCACACTGAGAGTTTTCAGTTTCTTTTCTGGGTTTCAGGGCCACTGTTCGAGACCTGATACTGATGAAATTTGCTGGCCCTTATGATAAAGGAGAGTACTCGCCCTCTGTCCAGAAGACCCTCTATGATATCCAGGTGCTCTGCCTGAGCCAGATTCCTGAGGTATGTTTTGTCACTTGCCATTCTGAAGACAGAGCAAACTTGTGTCTCCCGTCAGCTCGGAGAAAGAGTTGAGAGTTAAAATAAGAAAGTGGAAGACACATGAAAAATGACATCTGCTGTTGTTCAAAAGCTTGTTATAGGAAGTGAGAAGAGAGTGAAAAATGGAAAAATCTGTCCAACCTGAAAACACAGACCACTGCTAGAGTTCCTTCGTTTTGTTGAAAATTCTGAGTCTCTTCAACTTGAACACTCTGGTAGAATTTAAGCCTCCTAGTCAGAACAGTCAAGTGTCCTGAAGGAGGGACAATTAAACCAAGGATCTATGTTTCCTTGAGTCAGAGAATGAAGGACAGATTCCAAAAGATTTCATCTATTTGATATTATTAAATGATTATTATATTTCTCTTGTGCCAGAGTGATAGCACAGCAGGTAGGGCGTTTGCCTTGCATGTGGTCAACCTGGGTTCGATTCCTCCGCCCCTCTCGCAGAGCCCAGCAAAACCAAGAGTATTCTGCCTGCACGGCAAAGCCTGGCAAGCTACCTGTGACGTATTTGATAGCCAGAAACAGTAACAACAAGTTTCACAATGGAGACGTTACTGGTACTCACTCAAGAAAATTGATGAACAACGGGAGGACAGTGCTACAGTGCTATATGTATCTTAATATCTATGGGATACAATATCTATGAGAGATGCTCCCATATCTTCAAAGAGCTCATTAGTTGGTAAAAGAACTAACAATGCAATAGAGAACAGAACAGTAAGGAAATATAGAGGAACCTTCCTAATTCAGGAACAGAGAGAGGAAGAATTATTTGGAATTTCTGGAGGGAGGCGTGTTTGAGTTGAATCATAAGGGACCAGTACCCCTGATTTGAGTTCACATTCAAGGGTGAGAAATTCAGGTATGTATGGAGACAGGAGTAAATGAGAAAAAGTCCCATAGTATAGAGGGTCTGCCATTTGTCAAGTTTTAGGAGTAAAAGTCTTTTCCTGTGAACAAAAGTGAGGTAAGAACCAGACCAGAAGGGTCCTTGTAAACTTATTTATAGTCTAAACTTTGTCCTGAAAGCTATTAATAGCCACTATGGGCTTAAGCAGGGTATGGTACTACCATATTTGTAATTTAGAAAGATTTCTCTAAAAGAAGAGTGATAAAATCAAAGACTGATAGCCCACAGACAAGGAAAGCTGTTTGGAGGTTATTTCAGAAATCTTGCAAGATTTCTTGCAAGACCTGAATCAAGACCACCTCTCAGCCCTTACACCTGGTGACTAAATGATTATTATATTATTACATCTCACCATGGCCCATCACTTCAGCGTTCTCCTCAGACCTTCCTCTGGCTAAGGTGAAGATTCACAAGGTGAAGATTTGGGGGGGGGGGGCAGAGCAGCAAACTACTGTGTAGAATCCCCTATTTTCCATTCTAAAACATTCCCTATTCCATGCACTCCTCAAATTTCCTGCCCTAAAACCTCTGAGAATACTTACTGAGTCTGCATAAGACTCTTTCTCAGATACCACTTCTCCACAGAACATGCCATTGGTGTGCACTCTTAAACCTGAGGCAGCAAAGGGAGCAAACATTTGCAGGAGGTCTGGGTGAAATTTGACATGCAAACTTAGGTGTCCATCTGTAAGAGTTAGAACAAGAATGAATCAGGACTAGGGAATAGGCTCTTCCCAGACTCTTATGTCCTGGAACAGTGCTCAAAAATAATTTTAAATTGAGATCTGACCATGTCGGCTGTTTTAGAGGTTTATTTGTCCAGTAAGAAGGATAAAACATATTTCACTTAGTCTTTTTTAACCTGTTTTATAACTTTTATTTCATTTCTATTTTTATTTATGGTTTTCTGATGTCTCTCAAGCAGTGCTCATGGGTGGGAGAGGTGTGTGGGAACCACTCTCAGCAGTATCAACCTGGCTGTGTAGGCTGGAAGGTCCCCCACTGGGGACCAGTACTGCTCAAGGGATCATCTGGTAATAAGGATTGAATTTAGGGCCACCACATGCCAGGCATATCCTCCAGCCCTTTGAGCTATCTTCCTAGTCCTGGATTTATAACATTTAAATCTTTGGACATCTAGCTATGGGTCTCCAATTGTGCTCTTATCTCAGGATATGTATATATCAGAGACAGGCCAGGAGAGAGGGATGGAAAAAAAGAATTTAAGAAGTTGAACTGATTAGTATTATGAGGCACAATGGATGTTTAAGAGGTTTCTGACCAAGGGGATTCTTAATTTTTCTGAGAAACTGACTTTGTACATGGAATGGGGAAGAACTAGCAAACCCTATCTAAGACAGAAGCAGTCAGAGAGAACAGTGTGAGGCAGTGGAGAATCATCAGCATGTCTTGGAGACAGAGGAGCAATCTGAGCGAGAAGGCGGGGGTGTATGAGGAGAGGGAGGAGTGATGGAGAGATAGACTCCTATCATACTATTGTCCAATGTGATGAATATTATTGTGAGTTACAGATAGAAGATATGGAAATCAGCCTTCCCAACATTCATTACTTCAACATAGACATGACCAAGATGGGACTGATCAACAAGGAGGAGGTAAGAAATGTTTCAAAATATTTTAAGCATACCTTCTCCCCTTCCACTGCTCCCTTAGCCCTTATAAATAAGCTTGGATGGTACAGATCAACAAAATTCTTAGGAGTTATTGCTTCTAAGATATTTATCGTTTCCACTGATTCAAACCCTCTTAGACTCTGGGCCTTCCAAGACCAGAAGCTGGAGTACCCTAGAAGTGGATGAATGATTACAGGGGAGGGTTAAAGTTGCAGAGAATGGAATACAATGAGCGAACAGAATGTACCCAAAGAAACAGTCCTGAGATCTGTTTCAGAAAAGTGCCACACAAGGTCACATTATTTTCTCATCATGAGGCAATCAGCACAAAAATAAAATTTTCATTTTTGTCCATAACCTCTAAGTTTTAAGTGGTCAATTCAGGAGCATACAATAGATACTGACAAAATGAGAGAGTGGTTGTGTCTCTAATTACAATTATAGAAAGTAAGCTGAGATTCCAGTTTTGAAAGGAAAACTTGTCTTGGAAAAAAGCACCCTGACTTGGTTTTAGTCTTGACCGAAGGTTAAACCCAATTAGAGTTTCTAAGAAGACTGGCTGAAGTCCCAGCAGATACGCAATTGTGGTCATTCTAGGAATCCAGGACTGTCCTGTTCTTGGATCACTTTCGCAATGGCAAGATTTGTTTAGTTTATTCATTCTCCCTTGGTTTTTATAATATGATAAACATCATTTTCATGTGTGAGTGGTGAGAGGTAGGGCATACTCACAGAAGGTTAAATCAAACACCGGTTTGTTTGTGTATCTGTCTCTGCATGGTTGATATTCAACTCTGGGTTGCAGAATACAACATCCATCCACATGCAGTTTATGAAGCTGAAAGGAGCGCAGCATGCTTTACTTCTGGGGAAGGGGAAGGATGCTGATTAGCACAGTACCAGTTTTTGAAGAGAACAGCACCCCTTTAAGTGACATTCTTTGGGCCCATCTCTTGCTCTTTAGAAGCCAAAGAGGAACCCAAAGTAAATTTTGTCTAAGTTCACCAAAACCAAAATAAGATCATCAAAGGCCAAATAAATGGCTGATGGGCCTGAGTAGAGTGAGGCCTAATTCAGGACCCTTGGCAAGGAGAAGAGAGTCACTTTAGGGCCCACCGAAGCCTCAAACTTGTACTTCTCCCTGCAGGAAGGCTGGCTGGTGGGCTTAAATCACCGTGTCCCTTTTTTAGGTCCCTCTTGGAGCCCAGCACCAGGAATTTAGAGGCAGAAAGGTTCCTTTTGGCCGGACCTTCTATAAAGCACCCAAGTGGCCAACTAGCTGTCCTTATGTCTGTGTCTGACCTTTTGGATGGCTGGAGCCTCTCTTGGGCCCTCCCACTGCACATGTACACACACAAGAAGCAGAGATTGGGACACACTGACCAAGAAAACTTAACAAATGATAGGGTAGGAAGAGAGAACTCTGAGTACACAATTGTCTAGAGCCATTTAGCACTGGACTAAGAGCTCTGAGGACCTCAGCTGCTCTACAGGGCATGGTGGTATAATAGCCTTGGACAATGATTGATGCTCAGAGTGAATCATCATGAAACAGTGAAGTTATGTTCGCTTCTCTCTGTCTGACAAAACGTAAGTGCATAAGGCATTTGAGAAACATTACTATCTCAATGATTAAAAGTTTTTATAATCTCTTCAATTTTCTGGTAAATTGATTCATCTCTCTACACCAGAAAAATAAGTCATTACCATAATTAAATTATTTTACACAGTACACGCATATTTTCCTGTTTAGCAAGCTATTGTGGATGATGGTTTGATATTGATTCATGGGGGAAAGAAGAGGTCTATTTTATTTCATTGGGGGCAGGGAGAGGGTTTGGGCCACACCCAACAGTGTTCAGGACTCACTTCTGGTTTTGCACTCAGGAGTCTGCCCTGGTGATGCTTTGGGAAGAGAAGTCTATTTTAATGTCTGAATTAACCATGCAATTTCCCTCCCTCTCCCCCCTCCTCCAGGTCTTGCTACCATTAGACAATCCATTTGGTAAAATTACTGGCACAGTCAAGAGGAAGCTGGCTTCAAGGCTGTGACATCGTTGACACCAGTAGAAGTTTAAGGGATTCTTTATGCTACTTGTGAAGCTAGAAATCAGAGTCAGCAATTTTTCAACTGAGTATGTTGATTTATAGTGTCCATTTTCCTCCGACATAAAAGAATTTCTTCTACGCCTAACCGAGCAAGATCTTTTGTGATTACTAATCATTACAGCATGTTTTGTGAATTCAGTTTACTTCACAAATGCTGAGAAATAGCAGAACAATTATAAATCAATATTTTGTTGTCATTGTGTGGTGCCTATGTATCCAAGGAAAGTTTTAGAATCAGTTCCCTAAGAAAATAACCATGAATTAATGAAGACATTTTATCTACTGTAGTGTGCACAAGTTTAAGAAGCTAATATTGTTTTCATTCTACTGTTGTCTACAGAGAAAATTCAACTTCTGGTAATTCATAAAATACATAAACAAAATTGCACCTTGGAAAATATTACCATTATGGGCTCAGTCAGATAAAATGTTTAAATTTTGTTTGTTGTTGGGTCACAGCTGGTGGTGCTCAGGTCTTATTCCTGGCTCTGCACTTAGGGATCATTTCTGGTGGTGCTTGGGGGATCAAATGGGACTCCAGAAATTGAAAACGGGTTGGCTGAGTGTTAGGTTAGTGCCCTATCTGCTGTACTATCTCTCGGACCCCCAGAATATTTTTGAATCTTTAAGAATGCTGTAATTTATGCATTTTTGGGGTGATCATTCTACTCTAATACTACTTTTGTAATCTTAAAGTATTGATTTTGTGATTTCTACAGCACTTAAAGAATAACACACATTGTGGCTAAGAAATAAAAAGTTGTTTTGTTTGAATAAGCATCACTTTAGTATAAACAGTCACATTTAATAACTACTATGCCAATATATATAGAAAGAAGATCATAGAATAAATGTATGAAAATAACAATGAGAATTTCTGGATGGTGGGATAGAGTTATCTTATCCTTTACCATGCAATTTTCTGAATCTTCAAAATATGATAATTCATTACTTTTATAATCATAAATAAATATATAAATGAGGATTTAAATTATGTGTACAGACTTGAATGTTGATTATAGTTACACCAACTAACTACTACTATAACTTTATTTTCTTACTACTTTTCTTTTTTATTTGGAGGGGGGCATACCTGGCAGTGCTTAAGACTTACTGCTGGCTATGTTCAGGGATAACTACTGGCAGGGTTCAGGGGAATCACATGGGGTCCTAGGGATTGAACTCAGTACTGGCTTCTGAAAGGAAAGGACCTTAGGCACTCTATTATTTACTATAATTTTAGAAAACCATAATGAACCATAACTACATGACAATGTTACTTTCTTGTGTTAAACTCTCCATTTATTAAAAAATATTATGTAGCACTGTAGCACTGTCCTCCCATTGTTCATCGATTTGCTCGAGCAGGCACAGTAAAGTCTTCATTGTGAGACTTGTTGTTATTGAGTTTGGCATATCGAATATGTCACGGGTAGCTTGCCAGGCTTTGCCATGCAGGCAAGCTACACTCGGTAGCTGGCTGGGCTCACTGAGAGGGCGGTTATCACGTCTGCTTTACACACAGAAGGTCCTGGGTTCGAGCCCCAGTGGAACCACACAAAAAATTGTTTTGCATTAATAAAAATAATAAAAAATGCTTATGTGTGAGCACTTAGTATTATTGATAGTTTCCCCATTACCTTTGTAATACTGAAAGCAGCACACTGTAGTTTTAATTACTCAAACTAACTTAAATTCTACCTTAATTTCTTACCACTAATATGACAAGATTCTCACATATAAGTGGAAGTAAAGCTAGAATCTGCATCATAGATAGATTTTGAGGATTAAAGGCATTAAGGTTTATAAAGTTCTATAGGTAATGCATATGCTTCACACATGGAAATGCCTCTATATATTCTTCTATATATTATTTTATGTGTGTATGTACAGGAACACCTGGAAAAGTGCATAGCTTACTCCTGGCTCTCTACTCAGGGATCTCCTAGAGATGATGGGGGACCATAGAGCAGTACCAAGGATCAAACTGGGGCCAAACTGGGGTTGTCCATGCACAGTACAAGCACCTTACTCATTGTACTTTCTCTCTGGTCGCAATGCCTGTATATGAAATATTCATATAAATGTCTGTACATAATGTCTGTATATGGGTAAAATATCCTATTTTCTACTGCTGTTATATTTAAGTAGAAAGTCATCACTGGACTTTGTGGATACGGTGAGAGTTGGGACGTCTGCAAATTTTGATGCTGGAGGCCATTCACAAGCTAGTAGCTGCCTGGAAAGAATGAAAGATAAGAAGGATAAAATAATTTTAAAAGGAAAGTTGTGTGCTAAATTGAATATTTATGTTACAAAATATGTTTTACATCATTTACCTTGCATGGTCAAATGGCTAGTACATTTTATTCCTTTCCCCTTTCGATAATTCTATTCAAAGGGCCATTGAGTTTGATGCAGGAATGGTGACAGCATGTTTGTTTTTGTCCACAGTTCCCAGTTCAGACTCATAGTTGTTGTAAATATGGAATAGTTTATGTTTGGGGACCACACCCAGAGGTGCTCAGGTTCAGAAGTGTCTAATTTAGGTTGGCTGCACGCAAGGTAAGTGCCCTATCCACTGCACTATCACTCCAGTCCCTGGAAAAAGTTATTGAAGTAGAAGAGAAAGAAACTACCCAGCCAGGGGGGAACTTTGTTAGGACTAAGCTCTGTGTGTGTGTGTGTGTTTTAATGTGAAAACTGGGTCTTTATATTACTTATGTTACATTATGTTACTATCAAGAATGACAGAGAATATGTGGATTTTACTGCCAAGTTTACTGCTGGGTTAGGGCCTTTTAAGCATTATTGCCCAGTTGCCCATTATCTCTTAGTTGGTAAGCCTAAGTTTTAAGGCAGAATTTATGGTCTTGGGAAGGGGTCTAGGGATTTAAAGGAATATTAAGAAATGTGCAATAGAGACAGCTAAAATGGAGCCATAGGGAGCAGCTGGCAAGGGAAAACTGAGGCTTCCTCTTTCAGGTATAAAATAAATTCTTCTAAAAACATCAAAATAGAACAAAAGCCTTAGTTAGTGGGCCAGAGTGATAGTCCAGAAGCATGTGCCTTACACTCATAAGGACATGCAAGTTTGATACCTGGCACCATATTGCTCCCTAGAACCGCAGGGTGTGGTACTAGAGGCCCTGAGTAGCACTGGCCCCAGGAGAAATGCATCACCCCAGTGAACCTCCTATTGACTGGATTTCTCCAGGAATGACCCCTGAACAATCAATTGGGAGGCTGCCCTCCATAAACTTTAGAAACACAGTAAATTACTTCAGAGGAAGAAATCCATGTCAGAGCAGAATTCTTAGCAAAATATGGCTCATTTTACACAAATATGTATTTTGCTTTTCCTGAGCTTATAAAAAACTTCCATTGTTAAGGTTCCCAGTGAGCTATTGTCTTTTCTATTCCAGGTGTAAGGCAGGAGAGTCTGTAGTCTGTGAACATTTCAAGGACCAGTTTCCTGTTTGTGAAGGAGTTTTTCTCTTGCTTAAAATAATAAAATAAGTGCTGAAAACCAGACTCTGAGTTTCCCTTGCTCCTTTCAGCGCTGGCTGAACTGTAAACACCCACTATGCATTTTGTACCCAAATACTTGGTGCTTCTGTAATAAAAGGCTCCATGGATCTGGTTCCAATTTTTTGCAGAGTTGGACTATTGCTCACAACCCTCTCTTTTCTTCTCTCATCATCCTTAGCCTAACCACAGCTCAGTAGTTTTATGGGGTGTGCAAGGCAGGGGATCCCTGCCCACTATTGCCTGGGGTGTTTCCTGTGTTACTCCAAAAGTACAGTGTCATTGAAGTTTGACATTTTGGTAGCTAAAATTCTGGAAAGTTTTTCTCAAATGTTCTAAATTTTACCTCATACTTTTCCTTGAGATAGCCTCAGAAGATGTGCTCCTCTCTTTTCCTCATCAGTTTCAGACTCAGGTTTACTTAATATCATTTTTTATCCTGTGCTTTTCTCTCTTTCTTTCTCCTCAATACAATAGAAATTATTCTGTTAGGATATCATCTTACTTGTTTTTCATTAAGACAGATTGTACCCTTTTCAACTACCTGTATGATTTAATTATAGAAATTTCAACTGCTCCTAACCTCCTGACCCTTTGTCCAGATAAACCATTTCTTTCCTTTCAGACTTAGGGCTGAATGCACTTGGTTCTTTTTAATCTTTTAAAACCTTTGTAAGTTCTGTTTCTTCATCTGAATTTATGAAGAAAGCAAGGCTAATTTCTAAAGACGTAAATTTCAAGACTTCTACTCAATATATCTACATTAGATTCTTTCTGCTTCCAAATAAAGGAAATGTAATCTTATGTGCTTTTTGTAGACATTTTTCTCATTTCTTTGGAGCTGAATAGAGATGTTAGGATGCTATGGAAATCCTACTAAGGATATAATGGCTACAGACTTTTGTCTTAGGAAAGTGTTTATTCATGTCCCTACAGTTGCCTTAACACCCACTAAGGAAACTATATATAGTCTATTCTCAGAGTATAGGGATTCCAGTAGAAATTTACCATTCAGGGAATATATTTAACCAAACTTAGAAGAAAGACATGCTAATAAACTTGAGAAAGGGAAATCAGTGTTTTGAATAAAGGAAGAATCCAAATATATTGTTTTCCTGAGGCCACCAAAATAACACAAATTTGGTAGTGCATGCCAACAGAGATTTCTTCGTTGAGGGCTGGTGAGATAATACAGTGGGTAGGGTGCTTGCTTTGCTTGTGGTCAACCTGACCCTATCTCCAGGCACCACATCTGGCTCCTAAGTTCCACCAGGAGGTATCCCTGAGTGTAGAGACAGGAGTAAGCCTTGAGCACCACCCAGGTGTGACCCCAAACCACCCCAAAACCAAACTTCCTCTGATTGCTCTGGAAACCATAACTCCAAAATCCATGATTTTGAAGAAAAATGTTTTCTTCAAGACTTTGTTTTGTTCTTTCCACTTCTTATACCTTCACACGTTCCTTGACTAAGGCTACATTCCTCTAATCTGTGCCTTTATGGTTGTTTTACTTCTTCCTTTTCAGTTTCCCTGTGTGGATCGTATGGGGACACTTGTCACTGGATGTAGGTTACAACCAGACAACTCAACATGATTCTTCAAATCAAGGTTATTAACTCAATGACAGTTATAAAAACTTATTTATACATAAATAAAATGTTTAATTTACAGGTTCTTACTAGTAGACTATGAATTGGATTTGGGCGGTGCACTCAACCTGGAGCAATATCTCAGATATTTGAGAGATTTCAGAGAAATAATTACCAGGAGAATTATGGAATTTGGATAGGTGTTGCTGTGGACCATAAAAGTTTCCTGGAGATAAATGAAAAGGATGAGGATGATTAAAAAAACATGTAAGGTAAAGCATGAAAGTCTCCTTGGCAGCCTATACAAATACTCTATAGCCAGATGGTAATAAAAGCTTATACAGATCCAGGACCTGATTATGAGAATAGTAGAGTTCCAAAGAAGATTGAATTTCAACATTGAGAGATTCATCACATCATAAGACACTTAATACTCATCTTCCTGGATTGCCGCACCAGATTTGATAGGGTTCAAATATGGTTTGAACTATGGGAACACCTGCAAGGGTGATTAGAGGCTGCCCTAAAAGCCTCTATCCCTCTCGGAGATCCTGGCTACCGAGAGTATCCTGCCCGCATGGCAGAGTCAGGCAAGCTATCTGTGGCATATTCGAGATGCCAAAACCAGTAAATACAATGGGTCTCATTCCCCTGACCCTGAAAGAGCCACCAATACTACAGCTTTAAGAAGGATGCGGAAGGAGAGGCTGAAAAAATCTCAAGACCGAACTAGGCTGCCAAAACGAAGACAAAAATGACGGTCTGTACTTTCGATGCATGTATGCTGGCATTGGGTGCATCCATCGAGGACCTGATGGTACAAGCATGAAAGATCAAATACTACATCATTGGTCTGACCGAGACAAGAAGGCATCAATCACATCACGCCATTTTCGACACTGGAGAAGAACTGTTCCTCGGAACATACGACAAAAGAGGCATCAGTGGTGTCAGTGTCCTTGTCAACATGAACTTGGCCATAAGCATTGATTCATTCGAATGCCTAACAACCCAAATCAGACAATTACACTTGAATAGATGTGACTCACTGCTGGCAGTTACTATCTTCATTGTCTATGCACCAACATCCAATTATGATGAAGGAAAAATTGAGAAATTCTACATGGAGCTGGAGAAGTTTTATAAAGAAGACCACACCTTCTACACAATCATTATCGGTGATTTTAATGCCAAGATAGAACTGAGAAGATCAGCTGAAGAACTCCACTTCGGGAGTTCTATCCCAATGAAAAACCAGTAGGACTGTACTACTGTACAAGAAGGGAGACATCCACGACATTGGCAACTATCACCCAATCTGCCTATTGTCTGTCATCTACAAGCTGTTCACTAGAGTCATCCTGAACATGATTGGCAGAACACTAGATGAAGGACAACCATGCGAACAAGCAGGGTTCCGCAAAGGATTCAGCACCATCGACTATATCCACACGATAACCAAGCTCATTGAGGTTTCTCAGGAGTTCAAGATGCCGCTCTGTTTAACGATCATTGATTTAAAGAAGGCCTTTGCAAAAAGGCACTTGACAAAATGCTCTACATCATTAATCATTAAGGAGATGCAGATCAAAACCACAATGAGATTCCATCTCACACCTCAGAGACTGGCCCACATCCAAAAGAACAAAAGCAACCAATGCTGGAGCGGATGTGGCGAGAAAGGGACACTCCTTCACTGCTGGTGGGAATGCCAACTGCTTCAGCCCTTTTGGAAAACAGTATGGACGATTCTCAAAAAATTAGAAATTGAGCTCCCATTTGACTCAGCAATATGACTCCTGGGAATATATCCCAGAGATGCAAAAATGTATAGCCGAAGTGACATCTGCACTTGTTTGTTCATTGTAGCACTCTTTACAATAGCCAGAATCTGGAAAAAACCTGAGTGCACAAGAACAGATGACTGGTTAAAGAAACTTTGGTACATCTACACAATGGAGTACTATGGAGCTGTTAGAAAAGATGAAGTCATGAAATTTACATACAAGTGGTACTACATGGAAAGTATCATGCTAAGCGAAATGAGTCAGAAAGAGAGGGATAGACATAAAAAGATTGCATTCATCTGGGAGACATAAAGTAACAAAATAGGAGATTAATCTCAAGAATAGCCAAGATCAGTACCAGGAGGATTACTCCATGGCTTAGAGGCCAACCAGGCATTCTAGCGGAAAGGGCAGCTCAGATAGAGAAGGGAGCACCAAATAAAGGGTGTTTGGAGGATCTTCCCGGGATGGGAGATGCATGTTGAAAGTAGACTATGGATCGAACATGATTGCCACTCAATGCCTCTTTTGCAGACTACAACACTCAAAAGGAGAGAGAGAACAAAAGAGAATGCCCTGCCACAGAGGCAGGGTGGGATGAGGGGGATGGGGGTGGGAGGGATACTGGGATCCATGGTGGTGGAAAATGGGCACTGGTGGAGGGATGGATATTTGATCATTGTATAAGCGAAATCCAAGCACAAAAATTTGTAAGTCTACAACTGTACCTCATGGTGTTTCACTAATAAAAATTAATAGTAAAAAAATTATACCAAAATTTTATGAATTAGTGGGGAAAAAGAAAGATTTAAGTAAACAATTCTATGTTTTGAAATGTTGTGAGATATATTCATTTTCATCTGGCTTTTTCAAAAACTTTTAAAAGTAAAACTTACTTTCACTATAAAAAAAAAGAAGGCCTTTGATTCTGTTGAGACAGAAGCAGTCATCAAAGCCCTAGCCAGAGAGTTCAAACTCAATATATCGGGACCCTCCGTGAGCTGTATTACGGATTCACTACCAGGATCTCACCATTCTACAAAGAAGTAATCATCCATATCAAGAGAGGGGTTCGGCAGGGTGATACCATTTCACCGAAACTCTTCGGTGCCACCCTCGAGAACATCATGTGACTACTGGAATGGGAAGAAATGGGAGTGAAGATAGATGGTCGGCAACTACACCACCTCTGCTTTGCTGATGACATCGTTCTAACAACATCAAACATTAGCCAAGAGGCACAAATGCTGGCCGACTTCAACCGTGAATGTGGAAAGGTTGGAATACAGCTGAATCTCACGAAGACAATGTTTATGAAAACAGTCTCGTTCCTAACATTCCATTCACTCTCAACTGAATGAATATCTCCGAATGCAACAGTTATGTGTACATAGATCAAGAAGTCAACATGATGAATGACCTGGCACCTGAGTTGCACAGGAGGAAGAGAGCAGCATGGAATGCCTTCAAGAGCGTCAAAGAAATAGCTAAGAGAACAAAGAACCTCCAGCTCCGAGCACATCTCTTTGATTCCACTGTTCTTCCTGCATTAACCTACGCCTCAGAGGCCTGGACCCTATGCAAACAGGATGAGAATGCTCTTTGGGTCTTCAAAGAGGAATCGAAAGAG